AAGGTAACAGTTCTGTTACTTGCTGTATGACTCCTGATGCTCTGAAAGACTATGTGGTGTAGCTTGTGTTTTATAGCATACCGTCATTTTTAAGGTACATGCACATTCATTGGTTTGATTCCTCCGTGAATACAGTGTAAATCATTGCTCTGGAGGTAATGTGGTGTTAGTATGTCACCTGAGCCATCTGCTTCTCTTGTTCCCCTCTTTCTTCTTCCTTTTCTTCTCTCCCTCTCTCCTTCCAAACAAGCTTCTAAGTGGAATCTTAAGATCTTGCGGTGACCACCATGAATTTTTAAGGATGAATTAAAAATTAAGCCCTGTACTCTCTGATTCTTTAAGTGACTATAGCACATCTTGCTAGTTTTCCGTTGTCAAGGTGTTTAAAGACTTTAGGCATTTCATTGAACTCATTCTGCTTTCAGTCAAAAGCCATGCTGTTTTCATTCTTTCACCAGATCATACAGTCTTCATTTCACTGGTTGAGCTACACATTTTATAATTGTGAGGAACCTGAATTGCATCAGTTTACTTAATTTGGCATAAAGAGAGTGCAAAGAAATACAGGGAAAAAGGGGACCAGAGGGGTGGGCAACCAGAGTTTGTCACTTGCAGCTTCTGTCTCTGGAATCATACAGTGTTGTTGCCTTTTTTATTTTTATTTTTTAAGGTTAAATGTGACTCAAGGCGTGTCTGTGCTCCAAGTTCAAGATTGTTTCTATTACTTTGTGTTTATTGGAACACTATGGAAACCCTGTCATATGAACGGGGAGGGCGACCTGAACTTGGCATTTCTGCACAAAGGAGGTTTTCGCCAAATATTTGTCTGATTGAATTATTAAACTGTTCTCTCTGTCAGAGAAATCTCTGCAAATACGTCTTTGTAAAGAACCGAAAATCTAAATAAGAGGTTAACTGTCTGGAAAAATGCTTTTATTTTTATTAAACGATGACTTCTGACATTCCCAAACTGTTTCTCAGGGCGGGTCCCGCGTTAGAGCCTGTGAAAGCACCAGCTCTGCTTGAAAGCCATGAGCTTGAGTTCATTTAAATGTGATGTACATATATCTTGTTGCCCTCTTTGGGAAGTCATGGCACGTAACTTCCTCTGTTCTCTGCTCCCAACTGATTAAGTATTTCCTTCTCTGTATGTTGCAGTTTTGTGACCTCATAATTTTAGTTACAATTTAGCACAGACTTTGAGGACCTGGGTTCGGAACCAAATTCTGTGGTATCCCATCCAGGTTCTGACTCTCAGTTGTCATGTCACCTCTACGTCTCAGTTTCCTTACCTTAAAATACTATTATAAAGAAACAAATACTGCAAGTAAATAATACATCTAAATCTCTGTAAATCTCTTAGAACATGTCTGAGTGATTGCTTTTACTATGTTGAAGAACATTGCATGCTTCCACTCTCTGTTTTGGTATGGCCCATGAGCTAAGAATGTTTTTTACATTTTTACGTGGTTGTGAAAAATCAGAAGAAGAATAAATATTTTGTGACACATGGACATTATATGAAATTCAAATTTCAGAATCCACAAATAAAGTTTTATTGGAACCCAGTCATCATTCTGACCAGCTTATTTGTTTATGTAATGACTGGCTGTTTTCACATTACAACTGGATAGAGAGATTTCAGTAGAGACCAACCCCCTGGCCAGCAGCACCTAACCTGGGTCCTCACTGGACCTTTACAGAAGACATTTTCTGACCCCTGCCATAGGGCACAGTGCACTGAATCACCACGCCTGCAGATGTTACTCTCCGGGTTGTAGGCTGAACTTCCTGTTAGGCTTAGGCTGTTTTTTTTCCAATCCACATCTGGGACAAATTGTGTTTGTTGGGGATATGTAGTATTATGTATTGGTTGGCCATATGTGCGGTGAGCATGGCTGTGCTTTTGTGTAATTTTGAACCATAGTTTTGGATTTGTATAAGCATTGGTACCTTCTGGGAGGAGATTCACAGGTTGTGTTTTGTCCTCTTTGGCCGTCCTGCACGTGGTCCTTCTGAAGGTAACAGATGGGAGGGAGTGAGTACTCACTGATAGTACCATCCTTGGGGGTGGGGTGAGAAAGTGCTAGGATAAGGGGACAGCACAAAACATATATCTTATTGATTGCCAACAATATTTGTCTGAAAATTTGAAACAGAATAAAGAAAGAGTTGTTGTTACAATACGGTTTGTGTTTTTAAAGAAAATAAAGGCATTGGCTGCCCTTGTCTGAGTGAGTGGCTTCTAGAAAGACAGGACTGGGTCTCAGTCATCTTTGTTTCAACAGAATGCTCCAGGGAAACTTTCTCAAAATTTGTTGCTCAGTAGATGAATGAATGAATGGGATATGAGAGAGATGAAAAGAGTGTCTCATTCAGAAAAAATAATGCTACCTCTTAATTAACGCCCCCCACTTCACCATTGAGCAGCAGTGGAGCTTAAGGAGGAATCCAGTGAGTGTTCTGCAGAATTACGCCATCTCATGGTGCATACCTAAAGCACAGGTGTGCTCTCGTATCAGCACATTCCTTAGTTTTGAATGGGATGTATCCCTTTGTGAATTCAGGACCTGGAAGATATTTGTCTATGAATTGACACTACCATGTACTCAGGTTCAGAGCTTGCTTTTACATCCCTTCCTGGGATGAAGAAGTGCTTATTTGTTTTATCCATCTTTTCAGACATTGTTGAAATTTTATGGCACCTTTATGACAGTAGAAATATTAAAGTTAAGAGTTTATGAGATGAATGACAATATTGCTTATTGAACTTCTGTCATCTTAGTTGTATTTTTGTTTTTTAAATTCTCACCCAAGGATATGTTTTACAGATTTTAGAGAGAAGGGGAGCAGGGGAGGAAGGGAGAGGGAGACGGAGAGAGAGAGAGACAGTGATGTATGAGAGAAACATCAATCAGTTGCCTCCTGTATGCACCCCCATTGAGGATTGAACCGACAACCTAGTTATGTGTCCTGACTGGGATAGAACCGGCAGCCTTTCAGTGCACAGTGTGTGCTCCAACCAACTGAGCCACACTGGCTGGGGCTGTCATTTTAGTTTTTTAATAGGTGAGCAAATAAACACAGAAAAACCAAGTAACTTTGCCCAAAGTTATATGGTGGGTAGGAAGCTTTTCTTGTCTATAGTGAGGTCATTGATGGACATTCATAATTAGTTGTAACACGGACAGATATTTACATGTATTTTATTTTATATTATGCTGTTTTATATTATCTTGTTTATACATGGAAAGTGAATTTGAGAAGGGTTCAGTGCTGCCCGGACATTATTTAGCTGCCCTTGTCATCATTGTTTCCTACAATCCTTCCTGTGCTGAGATTGCCCTATTTGTTTCTCCCATGAACTTGACCTCTATTCTTGTCTCTTCGCTCTAAGACCAAGGTTGTTCACCTCTCCATGAATCTGATTATTTGGTGGCAGGTTGCTGAAGTGCACTTTGGTTGGTGGAGGAAGGGGAAGGTAAGAGGCAGCAGGTGACCAGGCCACTTCTGCCCTTTGCTTTCCCTGAGAGCAGCAGGAGGTCTTTAATGTGCAGGAAACTCCCCCTCGCTCTGCCTCCTGAGATACTTCTGCCTCTGGACCTTGTCTCCTGCATCATGCAAATCTGTTTGTTATTGCAGTCGGTGGAGATAATCTATGTGTCCCTGACACCATCGCTGCTCACAAAAACGGTAACTGGGAAGAGAAGAGCAGCTTTGTTTCACATACAAATGAGTCATGGTTTATTCTTTACTGATTCTATGCTGAAAACTTGGCCATACTTCTCCTCATTTAGAGTATTTAGAGTATATGGAAAAGCCGCATGTTAGAAATGGTTTGTTGAATAAGAATTACATTTCATTAAAAAATGTAATGAATGAGGAGGAGAGGAAAAGGGGATGAATGTGAAGTTTCAGGAAACCTCAGATGGCTCCTGTTTTCCTCCTCCATTTCAAGCTCAGAGTAAAATTTTGCCTCATATGACTTTATATGTTTTTTAAAGTAAAAAGGGAAGAAAGTAAAATAATTATTGCTTATAAAATATCTTTATTACTGAAAGCATCTAGGACGATTAATCTCTGAAAATTTTTTATTAGGGAGTAATTTGATGTGACAGAATGACACAGTATTTACTACAGTGGACTTTGTGGTTTTCTGGACATCTTCACGTAGTAGAAATTATTTGATCTTTACTATAATCTGTGACTCAGAAACAGGTTCAATAGCTGACTTAGATTCACCAGCAAATTAATGGTCAAACTGGGATTAAGGCTGAGCTTCCTGATTTTCTGTGTGGTGATCGTCCCGCTGCACACAACTCGTCTGATCACACAGACAGTCAGGATGGGATGCGCCTGGGATGGGGTGGCATCTCCTGGTTTCAAACACCAGAGCCTGTTTCTCGGGGAAGCTGATGCTATTTATCAGTCAGGGATGAGAGTTAGAGAGTTTAAGAATTCTATAAGCTTTATTATTGAAAACACTGAACCGATACTGAACTTCCACACAGAGCCCAAAGCATGTTAACCATTCAGAAATGGAGTTGCTAGAAATACAGACCTAGCCCCCAAGAGCTGAAATTCATGCTCCCATAACGCAAATACAAAAAGACATTCTCCTACCATGAATGTAAGGGCAGTGATGGAATAAGGACCCGCACACTTTCCATTGGCCTCTGTACCCAGGTGTTTGGAGACTCACATATTTTTACTGTATCTTCTTATTCCTTCTCAGGACTATATACCATCGTCACGGCGTATTGACATCAACCACAGCTTTATTTGCTCCCTTTCTAAGAAATAATGCAATTTAAATCCTTCAGCTCACAACATCTGTGATGAGATTTCAACGTTCTCTGTATTTGTATTTGTTCTTTTGATACAAGGCAAAGTTGAATAGTCAGCTGATCATTAGAAAAAATAAACCATTCCTTTGCCTGCCAGGCATGTATGGAATTTTTGCTGCTGAATTAAGTGGTATTTTACTGTTTCTTATGCAGAGTGGGAAACCGCCCATCAGTGATATGTTCACAGACCTCAAAGATGGAAGGAAACTGTTGGATCTTCTGGAAGGCCTCACGGGAGCATCGCTGGTGAGAGGCGTCAGCCTAGAGAACCAGGCCAAGGCGTTGCCTGTCTCTCAGCATTAGTGGTACTTGAGGACCCACTGGGGCTGCCCCAAATGTAAAAGCTGGCATACAAATGTTAAAAAAAGTGTTTCAATGAATTTTTGATAGAGCAATATTCAGGCTTTCTGGGAGGGTACTATATGTTTATCAAAGATAAAATTACTCAAATGTTTATTGTTCTCAGACAGCCCAGTGGAGAATTATAAAGAAGAATGGATACGTAAAGAGGGCATAATGGTTTGAATAGCAGGGCGTATAGAGACACGGTTAAATGTTATTTAACAAATATTAAAACAAGGCTGTTCAAATGATGAGATTTATTTTATTCAAATTTTTAGTATTATTTTATTTCTCCATCAAATCCCACTTTATTACTTTATATGCAAGGTACTGTATACTTACACTAGGGGTCCTCAAACTTCGGCCCGCGGCCCACACGCAAATACAAATATTGTATTTGTTCCCGTTTTGTTTTTTTACTTCAAAATAAGATATGTGCAGTGTGCATAGGAATTTGTTCATAGTTTTTTTTTTAAACTAGAGTCCGGCCCTCCAACGGTCTGAGGGACAGTGAACTGGCCCCCTGTTTAAAAAGTTTGAGGACCCCTGACTTACACAGAAATAACTCTGCTACTGAAGAGGATGCAATTTTATGAATACAGACTTGAACACTAGAGGTAGAATTACTATAAAAGGTATAGAGAGATGCACTCCCAAAGATGAATTCCTTTCTTACCAAAGTGTAGGGTGCTGCACACTCCCTTTTGCCTTCCAGATGGTGGGCAGGCCTGCTAAAGAGGCTGATCCCTCTCTCAGATAAGATTGCCTGGCCAGTGAGGCAGGAAGAAGCCTCCCAGATCACCTTTCCCCAGGTGGCAATTCCTGCCTTCCCAGTGGACCCTTGTAATGCAGCTGGAACCTGGAATAGCACCCCCGAACCCCCCAGGCTCTGTCCACCCTAGTGAAGTATGGATGTGATACGACTTCTAAACTTCCCTTCATCCAGACCAATTTAGAGAAAAGAAGCTTTGTCCCCCAAACTTTGTGCATTAGAATCACCAGGGAATTCTAAAAATTCCAAACCTTTACTGCACCCAGGCTCACTAAGTCAAAGAGGCATTGGTGTTTTTGGAAGCTCACTGGAGGTTTCAGTGGCCAGGCAAGCTAGGGAACTACTGCCTTATGGTGTTGGAGTGGGGGAGTTTTCACCGTCAACACCAGCCCCCAGGTGGCCTGAGAAGCAGCCAGAGCTCCAGCACAGAGGGCTCTCCATGCTGAGCTGCTGTGCTCTGTCCATCTCAATGTCATTTTTTTGTCAGGCTGTGGAGGTACTGTCTCACTTGATGTTGTGTTTTATTTTCCAGCCGAAGGAACGTGGTTCCACAAGGGTGCATGCTTTAAATAATGTCAACAGAGTGCTGCAGGTTTTACATCAGAACAATGTAAGTTGGTCAGGCGACTTGGGGGCTCTTGGGTGCCATCGGGATTATTTATTGTTGAAACCAGCCACCTGCTCTGTGCCTGGGCATCAGCTCATTTATGGAAACATTTTTCTTATGAGAAGCTTTGAACTTTTTCTATGAGTGAAGGAATAGTCCCTCTTTTTCTGATTACTTTAATCATTTCGTGTATAAGTAACACATTTTTGAGATTTAGGTTTACCTCCTTTCTCTTATCATTCACATGTGTGGCTGTCCAGATGTGCTCAACCCCAAACCTCAGCTGCCGTGGAGAAACTGTCTTAACCTTTATTGTCTTTCGTTGTGTCAGGTGGATTTGGTGAATATCGGAGGGACGGACATTGTAGATGGGAATCACAAGCTGACGCTGGGCTTGCTGTGGAGCATTATTTTGCACTGGCAGGTGGGGCCTTTTCAGTCACTTACCACTAGACACTGAAAATGTGTCATTTGTATTATTAGCTTCTGAGCTCTGCATCACAGAGCACCACCAACTGGGTGGCTTCAGCAACAGAAATTATTTTCTCCCAATTCTGGAGGCTGCAAATCTGAGATCAAGTTGTCAGCAAGGATGTTTTTTTCTGCAGCCTCTTTCCTGGGCTTGTGGGTCCTTCTTCCCTTGGTCCCCACAGGGTCTTCCTTCTGTGTATGTCATATCCTAATCTTGGCTTCTTATGCCAAGAAACCAGTCATATTGGATGAGGCCCCTTCCCCCTCCCCCATATGTTTACCTGAATTACCTCTTTCAAGACCCTTTCTCCAAATACAGTCACATTCGAGGTACTGGGGGTTAGGACTTCAACATAGAATTTTGCGGGGGACACAATTCAACGCCTAACAGTTTGGAATGGAAGAGATGACAAACTGCTCTATTTTCCCGGCCTAGAAAAAAGAAAATGCCTTTTTAAAATATTGAATTTAAAAATTTCAGACATCAAAAAGTTGCTAAAATAGCCCTGACCTGTTTGGCTCAGTGGATGGAGCGTCCCCAAATGTTAACAATTGTCTATATTTGTGTTTTCTCTCTCTTTTTCTCTTTGCCTAAATGCTTCAGTGTATATTTTCTAAAAACAGATTGTTCTCCTAAAATCAAGGAGTTCTCTTACATAACTACAATATATTGTCATAATATAAAATGTGTACTATAACATTAATAGTTCTAACTTACTTATCATGTCTCTTTCATCTTCTTTAATCTGGAATGGTTTTAGAGGCTCTGTGTTTTATGATATTGACATTTTTGAAGAGTACTGGACAGTTATTTTGTAGAATGTCTCTTTATGTGGGTTGCTGATATTCTCTCATGATTAGATTCAGGTTATTCATTTTGGGCAGGAATGCCGCAAAAGTGATGTTGATTTATTCTTGGTGTACCTCACCAGGAAGCACACACTGTCCATTAGGTTTGTTCTGGCAGGGTTAACTTTCATCATTTGGGTAATGTGGTATCTGCCTATGCCTCCACTGTAATGTGACTGTCCTATGTTATTAAAAAATATCTTGTGAGATATACTTTGAGACTGTGTAAATATTCAGCTACTTATCAAATCTTCCCCATTAGTTTATTTATTTTATTTTATTATTATTATTTTATTTATTGATTAAGGTATTACATATGTGTCCCTATCACCCCATTGCCCCCCTACCCCCCACTCATGTCCTCACCCCCCCATGTCTGTGTCCATTGGTTAGGCTTATATGCATGCATACAAGTCCTTTAGTTGCTCTCTCCCCCTTACTCCCGCCCTCCCCTACCTTCCCTCCGAGGTTTGACAGTCTGATCGATGCTTCTGTGTCTCTGGATCTGTTTTTGTTCATCAGTCTATGTTGTTCATTATATTCCATAAATGAGTGAGATCATGTGATATTTATCTTTCTCTGACTGGCTTATTTCACTTAGCACAATGCTCTCTAGTTCTATCCATGATGTTGCAAATGGTTAAGATCCATTCATAATTGTTAGCTGATCAGTTAATATTATGATGCTTGGCAAATAATAAATTTCTAATGTCATTGTTCCTTCTACATTGTAAGGAAGAGCTTTCCCTTGACTCTTGTTTATCTGTCTGTCCACCTACCTTTTTATTCATTCATTGTACACACAGTGTACACTCAGGGATTTTTACGTATTTAATAGCCTGTAACTTTTTGCTATTATTTATTTTGATGCTTAAATTATCCTAAATTTGGCCCATGTGATTGACCCCCCCAAAATCAGCTCTTGTGTCCTTTTGACATGTCCACATCATTCTTTGAGCACTTCCTTAAAACACATGTATTTCTTTAGAATAATAATGTGCAATATTAGTTCTTGATATAATCGGGAAAGTTTCTTCATTCTTTGATTTTGCATTCAGTCAAAAGGTCTACCTTGCATCCTCATCTTTTGTAGAAAATCAAAACTGAGTTTTCTTCCTATCAAAAGTTCTTTGTAAATGTATAGTATTAAAATATTACTCTTTTAGTGACTATGAAAGTAATGTTTATTGTAACCAAATCTAATATAAGTATTTGTTAAGATATAGAAAGTATGGTAATGTATAATGATGAAGTAAAAAATCACCTCTAAATCCTTGTACTTCAAAAGAATCACTGTTTAAAGAAAAATTTGAAATAAATTGAATAACCAGTGACCTGATCCATATGGTTACTTAATGAAATAGTCCTCATTCAAGTACTTGATCCCAGTAGCTGCTTTAAGTCATAGGCAGACATGGTTTCTCTCCCAGGTAAAAGATGTGATGAAGGACATCATGTCAGCCTTGCAGCAGACAAATAGCGAGAAGATCCTGCTGAGCTGGGTGCGCCAGTCCACCAGGTCATATAGCCAGGTCAACGTCCTCAACTTCACCACCAGCTGGACAGACGGACTCGCCTTTAATGCCCTGCTCCACCGACATAAGTGAGACATGACTCTACTTAGATGTGGACTTTCCAAATGTGTATCTCCTTTCTCCCTCCCTCACTGCTCCTCCCTAAAGCCCCTCCCCACTACCCCTGCTATCCTCTCTGCACACCTTCTACCAAAATATTAAGAAAAGAAATATCATGGAAAAAACTACCCACCAACTGTTTATTCTGTAGGACTTAAATGGCACAGTGCAGCCACGGTTGCTTCTACGTATTCATAAGTTAAAACATGTAAAATGATTCACATAGTTCAGACCTACTCATTCAGCACTAACCAGAAATATATGCAAAGAATTGTGCTAGTATTCATTCTTGTACCAAAGGGAAAGTTCTATAATTCAGTGCAATCCCAATTAATTTTAGAAAATGATTTTTTAATGAAATTTGTAAACAGATTCTAATTATATGAAAGACCAAAGGCCCATGAGGAGCCAGTACAATTGTGAAACAGTAGAACCAGGCTGAAGTACTTCTCAAACAGAAACCAAAACTAATTATGAAGCTACATTAATTAAAACTATAGCGCTATAAATAAATACACTAATTTAATTGTAGGCTGAACCATATGAAATTGCCAGTATTTGACTGTTTATAACAATGGTAGTTTCTATACTTTAACCTAACAGAGAATAAAGGGCTCAGAAATAGCTCCATCCTAATATACAACTGAACTGATTGCTATTAAAATAGATGCTATGGAACAACTGGTTGCCCATATGTAAATAATTGAATTGGATCTTTACCTCACCATACCCACAAATAAATTTCAGATGCATCAAGGATTTAAATGTGAAAGGTGAAATTTCTTACATGTTTTATTGCTATTTTAAATAATTTATTGTTTCAAGTTTTGTTTTCTGTATATGCTCTGTTTATATATAAAAATATAATTGACATCTCTACATCTTAGATCTAGAAACTTGTTAAAATTTTACAAAATTTAAATTTGTTTCTGTAGATTTAAAAACATTTTTGGTAGACCATCTATAGATTATAATAGTCCCTCCTCCCCTCCCCTCCCCTCCCCTCCCCTCCCCTCCCCTCCCCTCTCCTCCCCTTCCTACTCCTTTTTCCCTGTTCATTTGTGCCTTGTCCTTCAATACAATATTGATTTGAATAGGTAATAGTGAGCAGAATATTTTGTTCTTGAAAATAAAGGGAATGTTTTTAATGTTCTAGAAAATGAAGGGAATGTTTTTAATGTTTTACAATAACAATGATATTTGCTGTAGCTTTTTTGATATATATTTTTTTTATCTGGTTAGAGAACCCCCACACCCAATCTGTTTTCACTGTATTTGTTTAGAGAGATTACCCTCTGATCCTGGTTGGATAAGACATGTAGTCAGAAAACTTGAGTTTTAGCCTAAACTTTTTCCCATTGATTACTTAATTGGTTCAATAAGTGTGTTTGTAGTACTTTCCCTGTGTTAGGCTCAGGTTGTATAACAGAGAAAAAAGGCAAACACCCCATCTCCTTGGGGTTTATGTTCAAATAGAGGGAGGCTGACAATAAAGAAAGAAAAGGAAATGTAAGTTGTGTAGCATAAAGAAGTGGTAAACATGCCGAAGAAAAACGTAGCAGGCAAGAGGGGAGGGCGTGAGTAGGGAGAGTAATAGGAGATGAAGTCAGAAAGGAAACGGGTGGAGTGGGCGGGTGGAGTGGGCGAGGTGATCCCAGGAGATAGCTGGGTCTAGGATGCAAGAACAGATAGAGTGCAAAAAAATCATCAACTTTTGGATAAGTCAAAGCACAAAATGTCCAATTTCTAGGATTAAAAGAAAATCCAGATAGAAATGAAATACTAGGCAATGTAATATGGAGGGGGTGACGAGGGTAATTCTCTCAGGACCTTTGGTTTAGGAATATCCTGTGAACAGATTAAAGCTGGACTTTCCACTCTGCTAATAATTGGTCTTTCAATAAGAGAATTAATTCATTGTATCAATGGTGGTAATTGATGTATATAGGTTAATTTTTCATTTTTTTTACCAATTTATTTTGAGCTTTTTATTTCTCTTTTCTGTACCTTTTTCTTTTCTTTATTAAAATCTTATATTAATAGGTTCGTCCTCTTATTTTTCTTTTACTATTTGGGAAGTATTACATACTATTTTAAATCTTCTAGTGATTACTCCAGGAAATTTCATAGGTATGTTTAGCCAATACAAGAAACTTAGAATATATTATTCATTGTTTTCATTTTTATAAGTTACTTTAAAATACTATATATTTGACAAGGTTTTGGGATATAAAGTTAAACTTTTTAATTTAAACTCACAAACAAAAATCTAAAACTGCAATGTATTAGATTATAACAATGACCACTTCGTTTCCACATGTGTTGTTTCATTGCATTTTATTTGCATGGTGTTTTCAGACCTGATCTCTTCAGCTGGGATAGAGTTCTCAAGATGTCTCCCACTGAGAGACTTGAACATGCCTTCGGCAGGCTCAAACGTACTTGGGAATTGAAAAGCTGTTAGATCCTGAAGGTATTGTTCCGTGCTTATTTTTAATCTTGATTTTGCTGCACAATTTTGGATACTTGAAGAGCAGTGTTTTTTGTTGGCATGGTGTCTGTTTTTCAGGAGGAATTATGAGAACTGAGCGGTGTTCTTCCTTTTGAAGCATGGTGCAAGTCATTTTATCGCAGTAATTTGGACTTTGGACTTAACAATTTGTAGGACCCTTTAGGAGGAAATTTAATTACATCATTGGAGAATAGTTATTTGATACCCCAGAAGAGTAAAAGTTTTAGGAAAATATAATTGTTAGATAACCAATTCAGTATTTGGTTTATTTTACTGAAATGCATTTTTGTATATACTTCTTGTATGTGATGTGAAAACTTTAGTTACAAATGTTGTGGAATTTAATTCTAGACTTCTTTTTATAATGTTAATAAAATCTGGCATTATCTTAAATGTTAGCCTATCTTGAGCATTTGGGAGAAGCTTTTAGGGAAGATTTTTAAGAAATGGGATACTGAACAAAATTAAGAAAGAGTCTTTGCCTTTGTCTCATCTATCATTATATGAAACAGAAACTTACTGAGCTATGGTACTGCAAAAATTATATAATAGTATTGTTTATGGGTGCTGAGGATAGTTATTTTATATCTCCTACTGAGCTGTTCACATATTTTGGACATCTAATTTAAGCTGGTCTTTATTTCCTTCCCCTTTTAGATGTTGCTGTTCAGCTTCCTGACAAGAAATCCATAATTATGTATTTAACATCTTTGTTTGAGGTGCTACCTCAGCAAGTCACCATCGATGCCATCCGTGAAGTAGAGACTCTCCCAAGGAAATACAAGAGAGAATGTGAAGAAGGGGATATGAATATACAGGTAAAGGTAAATTTTATTGAAATGTTTGACTGGCCATATTTGTTATCTCTTAGGTACCAGATAAAAACACTTTTAGGCGATTATTTTCTTTCCTTTTTTTTTTTAAAAAAAAATGTTTTTATTATTTTGAGAGAGAGAGGAAGGGAGGGAGAGAGAGAGAGAGAAACATTGATCGGCTGCCTCTTACTGGGGACTAAGCCCAAAACCCGGGCATGTGCCCTAACCGAGAATCAAACTGGCGACCTCTTGGTGTGTAGGGCCAACTCTCCACCAGCTGAGCCACACTGGCCAGGGCAGGGGATTTTTTTTCTTCACTGAGAACATCTTGGCTTGTCCACTTGCATGCACCTTAGAAGTTCAATTGATCAGTTAGCATGCTGTCACGTGTCACGTGTGTGTAACGGAAAACCATAACTCAGCTGATTTCTTAAGAAGGAAATATCCTGTTTCACACAATAAGGGGGCCTAGGGCTGTGATCATGCTGCTGCATGATATGCTTAAGAAGCAGTGTTTTTCCATCATTTGGTCACCATCTTCCATCAGTGTCATTTTGTGTTAAAGATGGTTTTTTCTCATGTCAGCCTAGCTTTGTTCTAAGTACTAGTTTTCTTATTTATTTATTTATTACTTTTCATTTGTCTTTAGCAAAAGGATTTCTACCATTATATTTTCACAAGGGCTATCAAAATACAAAGTTTATTTTCTCTTTCATTTAGAAGGAATAATTGTCAATATGTTACTCGGTGGGTTTTTCACTTAAAGATTTATAATGCTTTTATTCATTAGGATAAAGATTAGTTTTTAAAATAAAGTCATGAATTTTTCTTCCTGAATTATTCTGCCTTGAATTAATATATATTTTATCTTACTCTGTTTCAATCTAACCGGTCCTCTTAATTCGTAAAATGAGAGAACCTGTTGGGTAAGACCTTAAAAAGTTGTTCAGTCCAACATTTCAGCAACCAAGAGATACACCTGAATTTCAAAATGATAAGAAATACATTTTAGAGAGGCAGAAGCGTGGACTTTGAAGCTGAAATTATATTCCTGTCCCTACTTGTTGTGGATTGGTTACTTCCCCTCTCAACCACAGTTTTATCTGTAAAATCTGGATAAAACCACCCACTTCATAACAATAAGCAACTCAAAGTGTCTAAAATAATATTAATAGGCACTCCATAAGCAGCAGCTACATTATAATTTTTCCTTCTTAATTTGTTTTGGTGTTCACTCTCAACAAATTCCTTTGTAAAAATGTTCATTAATTCTCATATAATGATAATGGTCTTAAATTGGCATGTCATCTTCTTTTTCCTTTTCCAAGGTTCAAAGAACTTATTATTTCAGATTTTTTTGGAGTAGTAGGTACCAATCCTTTTAACTTCTTCATTCAAAAATAGTACGATGTATAGAAAAAGAAAAAGACTTACTGAGGAAAAGAGGCAAGAGATGGGGCCAAATTGTGAACCTAGGGCTCTTTTTTTTAGTTTTGAAAGTCAAGTGATGTTGAGGAAAAGCTGTGATTTTTATAGCTGAGAAGCATTTGTCTCTAGTGGTGAAGTTATTATCCTGCATTAATGATGTGCCCTTTTAAGTGGCTCAGATAATCTGCTGAGCCTGCTTTTTGGTTTGAGTTATTTGTTTATTGAATTGGGCTTCTTTTGTTAGAAAGCTGGGGTATTTTACTTCTCATAGTTAAGGCCATTCTCTCTTAAAAAGAAAGATTTCATTTGCCTTTCATGAGGTGTAGATAAAATGATCGGGTCTGTGTAGGGCTCAGGGTGGCATGATAAGAATTGTAGAACCTATTTTCTGTTTGATCAAGAGCAGGTGCATTAACCCGAACCTCTTCATTTGCATGCTTTCATTAGTGCCTTAGAGATTGAATTAAGCTAATTAACGAAATAAAACGTGGTCCACTTTTAATCATTTACTGTTTGACAGATCTTGCCATCCGATACTTTGCAATGAACACTAATAGCCAGCCTTCCTCTCTCGCTGTGTCTTTCTACAAAGATGCTGCAGAGCACTAGGTGGTCAGCAAGTAGTTCTTGCATTTCTCTTTAATGTATCGGTTGAAAGTCTCCTCTTGTGTTTTAACTAATACCTTCTGGACATTTGCATCCAGACAGTGCCTTCCATCTATCTCCCACCTCCCTAGATCCTAGTGCTTATCTCAGCGACCTTTGGCTGGTCACTCACTAAGTTTCCTAGTCTCAGATAGCCTCATTAGAGCAGAGAGGTTTGCTACTCAAAGTTCCCCAGGGCTATTTTGGGTCTACAGTTTCAGAACACGAAGTCCGGAACTTAACTCATTTTCCCTTCTCTGTCTTTGGTATCCAGTGTTTCATCTGTGTGCTCACGGATTCATTTTTTTTTAACTCCTGCATACAGTTGACTGGGTTCTGTGTGATTCTCTCTCCAGAATGTGCCTGGTGCATGTTTCCTTTCTGTTCCAGCCCTCATGCTAATCGAAGACTCATCTTCTCTTGTCCTTAACAACACCCAGCCTCCCTCCACAATTCATCTCCGGCCGCCGCACTGCAGTCATGTGTTCTGCTTCCTCTCCTCCCCAAGACTCTTCTACGCGTGGGTTTCTCTCTGTGAAATGCTCCTCCACCCACTGTTTGCATGGCAAGCTTCCAATCTTTCCTCAGTGTCAATGGAACTTTTTCAGGGAAGTCTTCCCCCATTAACTTATTGAAATCCAACCCTACACACTCACTCATTCCGTTTTTTGCTGTCACAGTATTTTTGTAAACTATGTTAAGAATTTTAAATTGCATCTTGTAGCACTGGGAAAGCAGTGGAAGATTTTAAGTGGGGACGTCTTGTGATGTGATTATATTGTCAGAGATCATTCTGGAGGCTGAGTGAGAAGTGGGTTGTGGGGGTGGCAGTGTGGGTGGCAACAGGAAGTGAGATACTGGTTAGCAGGTGAGCAGGCTGTTGTAGTCCTGGGGACAGACGATGCTGGTTGTGGAGATGGAAAGGTCTGGATGGCTTGGAGACGCATTTTGAAGGTAGGGATTGCTCACATATTAAACATGAGAGGTGAAAGAAAAAGAGAATCCAAGGCTGGCTCCCTGGTTCTTGGCTGGAGAAGTTTAGTGCATGAAGGAAAATGGAAAAGCATGAGGAAGAGTAAGTTTGGGGAAAAAGCAAAGGGAAAGTATAGACATGGTCTGATATGCCTTTCACATTGACGTGAAGATGTTAGGGTAGCTGGACAGAGGAGTCTGGAGTTTGGGTTCAGAAATAAAAAGGCAAATGTCTGTGGGATATAGGTGGTTCTTTAAACCCAATGGGAATGAATGAAACCACTCAGAGCAAGTACACCGAGTGAAGAAAAAAGGGCCCAGACTTAATTTTGAGATTTATGACTTACAGATTGGCTGCGGAATCAGGAGGAAGACCAGTGTGGTGTTACTGAGGCAGAGAAAGGAGGGCTTTAGGGGGGTGGGAAGTCAGCCATGGCGTGGGGCTGAGGGTTTAAGTAAGAGAGAGGGTGACCAGATCTCTAGGTTTGCTTGGGACAGTTCTGGTTTATGTGTGTTGTCCTAGCACCGTTTTTATAAAAATGTTCTAGTTTGTTGGTTAATAACATGGTCACCCTAAAGATGATGCTAGAAGAGTGGATTTGTCAGTGGGAAGGTGTTTGGTGACATTGGCAAAGCCTTTTCCATTGAGTGGTGGGGAACCAATACCAAATCTGAAAGGGACTGTTAACAAATCGTAGCTGTCAAATCCATGAGAATTTCTTATGTTTCCCCTCTACATTTGTGTATGTTTGAAATATATAAAAATTGTGGATGGGAAGTGATTAAGTGAAGCTAGGCTATCAGCAAATTTTAAAGAAATTTTGCTGTAAAAGGGAACAAATGAACAAAAGAGAGAGTTCATTTGGTTATAAGATTCTAAAGTAAATAAAAAATATTCCATTGCTTGAGATAAATTTATTCCCAGGGGCTTAAAAAAAAAAAGACTAGCAAGTAAACTAGAGGGTAGCAGCCTCCAAAAATTACCATCAGCAGCTTGTATGTGTGGCTGCCTTTCAGGGTCAAACATAAAATGCTAACATGTATTTCAGTAAAAGCCGTTTCACTGGGGTCAGAGCAGAGTTCTAATCTTTACCTCCTTTTCTTTAACTGAGATTTACCCTTTAAGGCCCAGCACAATCCTGCATACACTTTTTCTATTTTAGCCCTGGCTGAACTCAAATAGCATCTCTTATTGGGACCATGGAATTTCTAGCTTCGCTAATAGCTATTTTATTTTTGTTCAGAAGTGATTCATGTGGGTTATTCGTCTCTTCCCACCTATGCTGGGATCCCCATGAGCACAGGATCCAGGAGGGCAGGCTGCTTCTGTGCTCTTTGCCATCCTCGCCACTTCATACACGCTTTCCGAGTAGCTCCGGGCATGGCTCACCCAGCACCTGAGAGCTGGCTGAATGTCTGAGACACAGTGGGCTCTTCCTCCCTGAGGGCTCTCCATACAGTGTGTCTCCGTTGAACACCTTCTCATCTTCACGATGCTTGGGGGTTTCCTCTTGGCTTTGTTTTCCTAGAGCTCAGCGCCGGAGGAGGAGCACGGGAGCCCCCGGGCCGACACCCCCAGCACCGTCACCGAGGTGGACATGGACCTGGACAGCTATCAGACAGCCCTGGAGGACGTGCTGACCTGGTTGCTTTCTGCCGAGGACACGTTCCAGGAGCAGGATGACATCTCGGAGGATGTGGAGGAAGTCAAGGAGCAGTTTGCCACCCACGAAGTAAATAATCTGTCGCCCATGAGTGGGCCCTGTCCGCCACGGCGCCTGTGCCTTATCGGGGCTCTGCCCTGCGATGTATGCTCACTGAATTCTGCTCCGCAGGAAGGTCATGGCTCATTTTAGGACTCGTGATATTTAAATAGGGCTTTGTTTTAAAGTCGGCGCGGGTGACTCACTGTGCATTGGAATTAGGTTTCAGATTTTAATCTTATCGTAACTTGTAAAATCTGTGGAGCCACTGACACAAATCAATGCACAGCACTGCTAGTTTCTGAAGTGTATTGTTATAGTTAAAACACAAAGTGGCTCATTAATACAAATACATCAAGTCTTTAGACTTGGAATGTTCCCCAGGAAGCGGTTATTTTTATTTATTGTATTAAGCAAATGTCATATCCAGTGTTCATGTATACTTTCATACAATGAAAATTTCCTACTATTTTGAGGATATAGTGTATTGCACTGTAGTGATTAGCTTATATGGAGATTTCTTTTTGATTAAGTAGTTGTTTTGTGCCAGTATGTTAATTGACAGTTCTTATGTGCTGTTTTGGTTTGAAAATAATAGAAGTTGTCAGATTCTTTAAGCAGTTTCTCTTGGGTGAGCATGGTGTTTTATTTATTGTTTTCTCATAATTCCATGTCATGATCTCTCAGTATTATAATCAGCATTTACTTAAAAATAGTTACTATTAGCAGATGTAATATTGTTTTCTTTGATCGATTCCCCCTTTTTAGTTAGGCCAGTGCTTCTTCCCTATATTCAAAGTTGGGTCAAAGTCTACTTTATTTACACTCTACATGGCTGCCTTTTTCTGCAGCCTTGATATTGAAACATTAATTTATTTATATATTTTTTGCAATGAGCTGCTCACAAATCATAATGATGTACCTTTCTAGGCTTTTATGATGGAGCTGACTGCACACCAGAGCAGTGTGGGGAGCGTCCTGCAGGCAGGGAACCAGCTGATAACACAAGGGACTCTGTCCGATGAAGAGGAGTTTGAAATTCAGGAGCAGATGACCCTGCTGAATGCTAGATGGGAGGCCCTCAGGGTGGAGAGTATGGACAGACAGTCCCGGTGAGTGGAAGCAAAGAACGAACACTTTATTCCACAATGTGTGTTGCCCAGTTTCTTTGAAATAAAGTTCTGTATGTTCGTGAATGCAAGATAATTACAGAGAGCTTGCCTTGTAAAATTTGACTCTTTTCTTTGTGTAATGCTGCTGGAGTTTTGTATGATCTTTGTTTCTCCTTTGATGTGTTAACCAAATTAAAAGGTAAAAGTTGGAGGACAGCAATTAGGTAAAAGGAAAGGACATTTTATATGGATAGATATTGACTTGCAGTATTAAAATTGGCTAACCATTAACCCAATGTGAAGACAGGATTATGTAGTATTTATTTACAATTTATTACATTTTTCAAAGCAGTGCTGCCGTGCCCCTCCCCCCCCACATGGTTCTTTTTTCCCCTCTGCATTGTGTATTAAGGAGCAAACTACATTCCATTGCAATTTCAACCTATTTAATATGCAGGAATTCCTGATTGAAGAAACAATGATTCTGATAGGAATGGTGGGTGCTATTATTTGCATTCTTGGACTGCATTTAATTGATTCCATTTAGGAGGAAAATGAAAGTGGTTTTTTTTGCTTGTTTCTATATTTAAAAATGAAGTGCTGCTTTAAATGGTTAGAGAGGAGTGAGTTTCCGTGCCCCCCACCCCCCACCCCATCCCCCCCAGTTTGTTTGCTGCCAGGAGTGTGTATTGTGTGCATGTGCCTTTGCAAAGGGGAAAAGCAAGTGGGACTGATGCTGTGTCCCTCCCCACAGGCTGCATGACGTGCTGATGGAGTTGCAGAAGCAGCAGCTGCAGCAGCTCTCTGCCTGGTTGACGCTCACGGAAGAACGCATTCAGAAGATGGAGACCTGTCCCCTGGATGACGATTTACAATCCTTGCAAAAGCTGCTAGAAGATCATAAAGTAAATCTGGCTCACATTTCTTTTCTACCTTATCAAATATGAAACAGCAGCACGTGGCCTTCTCACCGGCTTCTGCCCTTAGTGCAGAGGTGGGACACTTCTCAGTGTCCTCTGCTCATCAGCAGCTTAGAGGGTGGAGTCCATGGAGATGTGACTTTACTAAAATTTTATGTGGGTATGTATAGTGTCCTAAGGAAAGCTCTATGCCAGTGGTTCTCAACCTTGGCTGCACATTAGAATCACCTGGGAATCTTTTTAAAAATCTTGATTTCCGGAAATTCTGTTTCTTTGTTACTAATGTTGTGGCCCCACCCCATAAAAAAGAAACAGAATTTCCGGAGGTTGAGGCCTAGAAATCAGGATTTTAAAAAGATTCCCAGGTGATTCTAATGTGCAGCCAAGGTTGAGAACCACTGCTCTATGCTTTCCTAAGATTCTCAAGGGTTGTTTTGGACCTGTAAGTGGTTAAGAACCCTAGTGTGTGAGCATCAAGGCCATGCAAAGAAGCAAACCCTCAGATTTATCTGTACCTTATCCTTTGAGGAAAGCTATTCCGAACTGGAAAAGTATCCGGCACTAGGTGAAGAATCAAAATTTGGTGGCTAATTTAATTTGATCACAAATTAAGGAGAAAACTTTTCATAGTCAAGGCAAGGTAGAGCAAATAGCTCCTTTGCAGTTTATCTGAATAATCTTATTTTTCAATGAAATACCTGGATAACTGATAAGTAAAGCTCTAGGGATACTTTAAATGCAACTCAAAGGCATTTGACAGCACTGTTGGTGGTGTTTAAATAAGATACCTGTATACATACATCTTAGCACTTGCCATGCTCTTCCTGTGGAAGGGGTGAGAATGGAAGTCATCTGTGTCCTTAACTGCTTTCCTGGGCAGCTATTCAGAATAGCTTCCGACTATCAAATATTATCTACTCATCTCTCACTTTATGTCATGCTGCACTAGAGAAAATGATCTTTGTATAGTTAAATTTGGGACTTCTTTGATTTACTAATTCTACATTCTTACCTTAATTCCTAGTATAGACATTCAACTCGTTTATGCTACATTATTTTTTGCCACAACTTGGACTAAAAGTAATGACATCCCATTTGCCATCTGTTATGACATTGCATTTTCAAATTGCTTTGGTTCATAATGAAATGTAAAGATGTATAACGGGCTTGTTTCATTAGGAGAACACTTAGTGTAATGATTGGAAATTTAAACACGATGCCTCATTAAATAGCCTTAATTACTATTGACAACCGAGTGGATTTTAAATAGGTAAATGTGAGAGAGTAGAGATAATGGTATATCTTAATTTTTTTTCTCTAGAGCTTGCAAAATGATCTTGAGGCTGAGCAGGTGAAGGTAAATTCGTTAACTCACATGGTGGTGATTGTTGATGAAAACAGCGGTGAGAGTGCCACAGCCGTCCTGGAAGATCAGCTACAGGTAAGGACCCCGAGGAGGAGGGCGACCCCAAGGGGCCTGTGGTCTGAGACCCAGTTCCATGTACCCTTATTCTGTACGGCTCATCACACTGTTTATGTAGAAGAGTAGAAGAACCTACTTTAGGCTGTCCTTCCCAGGTGGGGTTCCACAGCATGTGGGTTACAGGAGTACCTCAGTACCATTCCTTTACATCAGCCCTTGGGGTGCATGGGTGGGGTGTCTTGTGTGCAATAGTAACAAGGTTGGGAAGCACAGGAATTGATCTCGACAAGTGGCCCACAGGCTTCTTGCTCAGAATCACTTGAGGAATTTGCTGAAATGTAGATTTCTGGGCTCCATGTAGACCTGAATTCCTGGGAGTGGGGCTCAGTGGATCTGCACTTTAAAAAAAGGTCCAGGCATATTAAAGTTTGAGAATTTCAGCCATGTAGGATTTCATATCCCTGTTTCTTTGGTTGGACCAATGTGTGAATTTCAGTAGCAGTTTTGGGAACCCCAACAAATTACTCCTTTTCTCACAAAGGTTATAGTGGAAAGTCTTTACAAAGAGATTGATCGGTGTTTCATTTGAATAATACTGGAATCATCTGCTGTGATGTTGCCAGTTTATGATTTTTGGAAACTTTCGGACATGTATCTTCATTTAAAGTTGGCCAGTGGTTGTGAGACTTTGTGCAGAAGTGCTTAGTTATTACAGTAACCTGAGAGGCAGGCGTTCGTGTCTAGCCTGTTTAGACAGTGGGTTTTCCTGATGAGACCTGTCTTCTGGCTCCGTCTTTGACCCGTTGCACTGTCCAAAGCGTTCTCTGGTATCACATATCAAAATAGGATAATATGAATCAACTCTTGCTCATATTTAAGTAATGTAGAAATACAGCGAACATTTGTTAGTTATTATTTATATAATGGTAACAAAATAATTTATTAGGAAACTTATGAATAATACTTTTTTAAAAAAATAATCAAAAATTATTTATTTAGTATTGCTAGTACTTGTACATATTCTGTGGCTAAATTTTGTGGAATTTTCTATGGATCATGAGATGTAAGCAGAAAAAAATGAATTAAGTATATTTAATAGAAATTCTCTCATTCAACACATAGTTTTTATAAGGTTAAAAGTTTTTCATAACTTTTGTATTATAGATGAAAATTTTCTTGGCATATAAAAGTGGTTAAAAAATTACTGATGTGTTGTATTTTGTTTTAAAGACAATTATAGCCTGAAAACAATTTTAGCACAAAAAGTAGATGTTTGCTCTATTTTGAAGATGTATGCAAAAATGCTAAATTCTCAAATAAAAACCACAATAAAATGGAAAGGGCAGGAATTTGGAGTAGACAGTTACAGAATAGAGTTCTAGTTGTGATACTTTTTAGCTCTATAGTGTAAAATAATTAATTACATTCTATGGAAATTAGTTTTTCTCATCTATAAATATATAGGATTCATCTGTATTATTTTAAAGTAACTTTTATAACATATATATATATATTTAAAACTTTGTAATAGAGAACAACTGATGTCAAGAATACTTTGAGGATCATGATAACTATCTCTTAAAGCTGTGTTAATAAAGGATGGTTTCTTTCTTTACTAGAAACTTGGTGAACGTTGGACAGCAGTGTGCCGATGGACTGAGGAACGCTGGAATAGGTTACACGAAATCAACATCTTGTGGCAGGAATTATTGGAAGAACAGGTATGAAACTGTTATCCATATGGTCAAAATAGATGGTGGAAGGTAACTCATCTTTAATTATGGCATTAGAATGAAGTCTTACTTCTAAAGGAACCTTTACAAGTAATTATTTGTTATTTTTAAAGTCAGATTTGTATCCATTTTACATGAAGAGTATTCATGGAGATTATACTGTATTGCTCCATTGTAACAACAATGTGATCTGTGTTTATATTTAAGAATGTTAATATTTAGACATGCTACTTTCAGGGTTTGCTTGACATTATAATTTCATGCATTTGTGCTGGGTAATGTGTTTGAACTTGTACCAACACAGTGCCTAGCATTTAGTTTGTGCTCCATAAATAAGTAATCCACTTAATACTTTGTGGCCTTTAAGTCATAAGAATTTTTAATGATTTTAAAACAGAATAACTACTGAATTTAACTAGAAAACATTATTTAGCAACACCATTGATTTTACATTTGGATGATAGTATATTTTTTCCTACTAAGTGTTACCATAGTAAACGAACCTTTGGTGCAAAACTGCCCCTTTAGGTTTTCAGTCAGAGTAGTGGCCCTTTGCCTCCTCCATCCTTCCAGAAAAGCAGCCATCAAAACAGAGTACAAATAAACAAAACTTGCCCTGAAAACACCAAATGGTTGTGGTTTAGAAAATAAGCAGATACTCTATTCCCTCATCTCAGTGTCCATTTCAATTCTTTTAAATGCATCTCATTTCCATCTACAAAAAAGGAACTGTATGCTTTTCAGGCAATAAAAACAAGTGTGCAATGCTTTGTGGTTCACTAAATATGGTGCAGATAGAACATCTGCAAAAGTGGGGTACAAAATTTGTCCCAGTATAAATTGTTAATCACTACTCCCCACCCCCAATCATTGGTCACAATCTTCCTGTTAAGAATCCCATAATGGGCCAGATTCTGATGTCTGAAATATTTACAGTTCACTTTACGAAATACTTACATTTACTTAGACCCTGTTTTCACTCCAAGGCGTAACATCGGATAGTTAAAAATTTACTTTAATAATGACAGTAGGAGACATCGATTGCCAGAGAAAAACATTGTGTTGCTTTTCTGCTAAATAAAATAATTTAAAATTTGGAAGGAATTTTAATTTGGCAAATAAAAATATTTACAGGTAAGGAGTAGCTGCTATTTGGGCCAATATTTTAGGTTTACAACTCACCTTTGAATGGCTTTCTGCTAGTGACATGGAAGGAGGGATCTTCTGAAAATGGAGAGTTGAATCCAGCATGGGCACTTAATGTAGAGAAATCTGCTATTGCAGGAATGAGCCCAAGTCAGTCGTATCTCATTTAGAACATCTTTCATGGGATTATTGTGTACTCAGCTGCAGAGGCCTCAAGCGTCAGAAATGGGCTGTGAGAATGAATTCCAAACTTCTGTAGCATGAAGTGTGGCAGGGGGTACTCTGTAAAGGACTCCAACCTACCTTTCCAGCCTTCATGTTCCCTCTGTCCTTCCATGTGCCCAGTGCTCAAACCCTGAATTCCCAGTCCCTAGCCCATGGCTAGGCTGTCAATGCCGCAAGAATAGTGCTGGTTCTTTTTTACTGTCTATTCCAGTGCATGGAGCCTTGTAGGTGCCTCGTGGTTTAGGTTGTTGTTTTGTTGTCTTTGTTTTTTGAAAGAGTGTCTGTATTTCACTTGTTTTCTAGCCTTTGGTGTTTTTGGTTAAGGATTGGCATCGGCCATGGAATGTTCTTAGACTCATCTCCTAATTTTTAAGTTCTCTCCAGCCATCAGGAACCGTGAAGCCATCTATAAATCCCCCGCTCTCCTTGTCTTTAAACTGGAATCGGTTTCTTATGTGGTGTCTGCACTTTGTATCTTGTGCCATGGTGACTCCTGCGCATATCTTACTACCCTTACTATTGCTGAGGGCAGGACCCACTTTTGTCTTTTATGTCCTTCATCTTCATCTTTTCGTTTGTGTGTAATATAGAGGAAAGGAATACTTGTAAAATTCACTGGTTAAAAAATACAGTTAGAGAAAGAATTGATTCTATTGCAAACATAGAACCAAGATTCCCCCTCCCTCTTCCCCCCCACCTAGTCTATAGAAAAGGGTTTGAATTATTCCAATGTAGCTATGTTGTTTTCCACCCCTGCTTCAAATTGATCTCTCTACTTCTGCCTAAAACAACATGTATTGTTGGCCAGTGAAGTTTAACTGTCTTTATACTTTGGACTATCCTCAGACCATAATTGCTGTCGAACCTGGAGTGTTGGTGCGGTTTTGCAGCATGATGCTCTGGAAAAACCATTAGCTTTGCAGTGTGGGTCCTTGATCTGGCTCTTCTGTGAACTAGCCAAGGGACCTTGAATGTATAACTTGGCTCTCCTCTCTCTCCTCCCTAAAACAAGGGACTGAGACAAGACAATCTCCGAGATTCCCCGTCTCTGGAGTGTTACAATATGATTCTTTTGGAGACTTGAATAGGTTTACTTATCCAGGAGTGGGGCTAATTTCAGGTTGATCTGTTGCAAATCTAAGAAGGCTAACTTTTCTGTGTCACTCATGCCTCATGCTTAGGTTTTTGAAGTTCTTCTTATTCAAGATAAGGATAAAGCTTCTAAGAATATAAAGTTAGAGATTTGGTAACTTGATTGAATCGAATTACCAAGTGATTCCCCACATGTATTTCTAAGTTTTGTTATTATTTATAGTGCTTGCTGAAAGCTTGGCTAACCGAAAAAGAAGAGGCGTTAAATAAAGTCCAGACGAGCAACTTCAGAGACCAAAAGGAGCTAAGCATCAGTGTTCGTCGCCTGGCTGTAAGTGATGTCATTGTCAGCATCTGTCTTGTAAGCCTGTGATATTTTAGTGTTTTACATCAGTGGTTAAAACCATTTAGAAAATCCAGAGTAGGACACATTACCCAACACTGGAATGCTGCCGTGGAATGGTCTAGAACCAGGAGTCTTACGTTTTAGCATCAGATACTAGTAATTGCAAGGGTACATTCTCCTATAAAATATATACATGTTTACATGTTCTGACTGGGAAACAGGAAGATAAAGTCCTGTGAAAAGGGAGTCATCTAACAAATATCTGAAATACTAGATTTTGAAGGAAGACATGGAAATGAAGCGTCAAGCCTTGGACCAGCTGAGTGAGATTGGCCAGGATGTGGGCCAATTACTTGATAACCCTAAGGCATCTAAGAAGATCAACAGTGATTCCGAGGAACTGACTCAGAGATGGGATTCTCTGGTTCAGAGACTAGAAGATTCCTCCAACCAGGTATCGTTTGCTCCAGATAATATGTTGTGCCATTAAGTAGAAGCTAAATTTCAGGTTAGTTTTAGTTTTTACGAAATAAAAGAGTAGTAGCTAAACTAAAAAGTTGGTTTCTTATACCTGGTTTACTATAAAATTGAAAAATTGACATGACAATGTCTTTTAGTTTTCTAAAGTAAATTTTAATGGATCTTAAGAAAAGGATTAATATCCAGTGATTTAACGCTTGCTAACTGATAACAGACATGAATCCATTAAATGATCTTTAAATTTTATTCATTTGAAAATATTTTAGCGAATTGATAAAAAACCCAAAACTTTGGTTTGTACATGACTGTTCATAGCAACATTATTTATAATAGACAAAAAGTGAAATGACTCAAATATACAGTAGGTGGATTGATTAACAAAATATGGTATAGACATACAATGGAATATTTTTTGGCAATAAAAAAAGGAAGTACTGATATATGTGATGACATGGATGAACCTTGAAAACATACAAGTAAAAGGAGCCAGTACCAAGTTTATAGGCACCATGATTCTATCTATATGAACTATATAGAATAGACAGACTCATAGAGACAGAAAGTAGATTAGTGGTTGCCAGGAGCCAAAGCGGGAGAGAGGTTGGGAAGTGACTGTTAATGGGTACTGGGTTTCTTTATGAAATAATAATAAAATTATTCTGGGACTAGAAAGTGGGCATGGTTGTATAAGTCTGTATACTAATAACCATTGCATTTACATCATCAAAGAAAGAACCTTCTGGCATATGAATGATATCTCAATAAAGCTGTAATAAAACCTAAAACTTTGGCTGCTCTTATTTCAGGTGACTCAGGCTGTAGGAAAGCTGGGGATGTCCCAAATTCCTCAGAAGGACCTTTTGGAGACTGTTCACATAAGAGAACAAGTGACCACCAAAAGGTCTAAGCAAGAACTGCCTCCTCCTCCTCCTCCAAAGAAGAGACAGATCCCCGTGGATGTGGAAGCGAAGAAAAAGTGAGAACAGACAGACATTTTCCAAACCCAGGACCCCACACAGTGTATTTTGTACTCAGTACCTGTGTCATACTAATCACGGATGATATGCAAATTTAGACATAATTATTGTTAGGAACCACTCACTACCCCTGAGTGTTCTGCGTATTCTACTTCCCACTGGCTAAGTATCTGTGTTGTCTCGGATGGTTTTATTTATCCTGTGTACTGTGTGCTGACACCCTTGCTTCTGCCTTTCCTATCGTTTACCTGGAGGATATGATTGCCCATGATCCCTCATTTTTCTTTCTTTCACTATCACCATTCTGACAGTCTTGCTTTACTTACATCTCCTTATTGTTTGTGAATCTGCTTTCTTCTCTCAAGTAAAAAAGTACTTAATTCAGGGAAGTAATTAGTCTCCTTTTTTCTTTTTTTCCCCACCCCTCATTCTTTTTTCATGTTTTCTTTCTTCCTTTGTTAAGTCTTTTTTCTAGATTCATTAACAGATTCTTTGTGTTTGGCTTGAAGATTCATCTTTAGCATACGCTATCTTTTCATCTTATTGATTCAAAATAAACTTGGGATCTTTATAAGGGGATTAATCAGCCCTGGCATAGATAGAATGCCAGCTACCCTGTTAAGCCATGCTGTGGCCCAGGTACCGCACATGCACTGTAGCAGCTAGTCCTCAAAACACCCTTGAGTAGAACTATTATTCTCTCCCTTTTACAGTAGCGTCCCAGTGCTCGGGTAAGTGGGCAGTTAGTTTTGCCTGAATAAAAATGATGTGATTTCACCAATTTAGCTTTTGTCAGACAAAGCAGGATTCCAGTTTTACCAGATGATTTTCATTTTGATGACAGGGCTGTGCGTCCTCCCAATAGCACCTCCTTGCAGGACCAGTGTACCTCCTTGGAACTATTACTTTTGGAGCCAAGACAGCAGATGAGGAAGGTGCTTTTGATGTTCATATTGTTGTAGACCTTTCATTTCATGAGTGTTTGTATTCTGCCAGTATATCTAGCAACATATCTCTCCAGGGCTGACTCTGTGCTTTTGGAAGCTGAGAAGGTATTAAAAAACTAGGGTGCATCAGTAAGTTCTGGTACCAATTCCAGTGTAGGTGGGAATGGGAGGATTCTCCCAAAAAGCAGTTCATGGGACACTAGCTTGGTGTCCTACAGTTAAGCTCAATTCTGACACTTCCTACTGGGAGACAGCATCCGATTCTACAGGTTAAGGGTTTAGTCCAACGAGCTGTTACCTGTGCGTCTAACCAACTGGCTATACATTGGAGGTTCCTAAGACCTCCTCTGTGGGTTTGATTAACTTGCGAGAGTGGCTCACCCAACTCAGAAGCATTTTACTTACTAGACCACTGGTTTATTATAAGAGGATATAACCCAGGAAGCGCCAGATGGAAGAGGTGCATAGGATAAGAGAAAAAGCACAGAGCTTCCACGCCCTCTCCAGGCGGCAACTCTACTGGCACCTCCACTTGTTCACCGCCCCCGGAAGCTCTCTGAACCTGTCCTTTTGGGTTTTTACAGAGGCTTCATTACCTAGGCATGATTGATTAAATCATTGGCCATTGGTGATTGATTCAACTTCCCACCCCTTTCTCCTCCAGAGGTCAGGATGGTGGGGTGGGACTGAAAGTTCCAACCCCTAATCACATGGTTGGGTCTCCTGGCACCCAGCCTCCATCTTTAGGCGGGGTCCAAAAGTCAGCTCATTCACATACAAAGTGATAACTCTGTTGCTCTCATCAGTTAGGAAATTTCAAGGGTTTTAGGAACTCTGAGCCAGAAATGGGACTAAGACCAGATATATATTTCTTACTATAAATCACAATATTGCAAGTGCATAACTATAAAATTTTAAACACGACCTGTTGTATAATTTGCATTCTGCTGCAAGAAACACAGTACTGTACCTGTGACTTACTGAGGTCTCATTTCATGTTACAAGGAATCTGGAGGTAGGGATGGTCGTGCAGCATCCTGCACATTGTCTCCGCCTTCCTCAGCCTGGTGGCTTTCACCCCCAGGCTTGTCTTCTCAGGGTCCCCAAGGTGCTACTGAAGCACGGACATCCTGCACAACCTTCTTATTTCTCTCTCCCTCTCCCTCTCTCTCTCTCTCTCTCTCTCTCTCTCTCTCTCTCTCTTTAAAATCAGGGAGACCTTTCCTGGGAGACATCAGCTAAGTTCCCCCAGTCTCACTGGTCAGGACTCAGTCGCTTGTCCATGCCCTGGGTGCTTGGGAGTTTGAAGCTGCCCTGCCTCTCCAGGCTCTGTAGTTGTGCTCTGGGGACTCGGGCAGCAAGGAGGAAGTGTGGGGAGGGAGGTGAATGGCCTCCATTCCTTGGGTAAGCAACCAGCTGTGAGGACCACAGTTTTCTACTTTACTGGTTGATTGAGGTAGACATTCCTTTAGATCAGTGGTTTTCAACCTTCCTAATGCCTCGACCCGTTAATACAGTTCCTCATGTTGTGGTGACCCCAATTTCATTGTTACAAATTGAACATAATTAAAGCATAGTGATTAATCACAAAAACAATATGTAATTATATATGTGTTTTTCGTTCGACCCCCAAAGGGGTCGCGACTCACAGGTTGAGAACCGCTGCTTTAGATGGTTCCTGGACAAATAGAAGTTTGAGGATGTCCAGTTCATTCTAATAGAAGGCAGTGAAATCTCAGTATCAGAAATTAAGCCCCAACTGGGCCCCCTCTCAGTCTACCCATGTGTGATGTGATGGGATCCAGAGGCTTCCTGGAAAATAAATGTAGCCATAACACAGCTTTGTGATTCAAGCTAGCTCAGTCTTTCTGGGGCAAGACAGAGCCATACCTGCCCTCTTTAGTATTTGAGGATAGGCTTCACATTCCAATTTCCATTCCTTGTCCTAAAGTCCAGGGAATTCTTTACCATTTCTATTGTAAAATGCCTTCCAGACCCTTAGAAACCTCTATGAACTTGTCTTAAAATGAGCTGTCCAAGCGGATATGGGCCTTAAGTAACTGCTGGGCACAACTTCATGTAATAATACAAGCTTCCGAAATGGTGGTTTATTGTCCCTGCTCTTCCCTTGGTGCTGCTGGTGGCTGTTTGCCACCGTAGGGGCAGCCGTTGCCTGTAATCTAGATATGGCTAAAGTGACCTGAGCTTTCTCAGAAATGGACTAAGTCTCCAAGGTCATTTAAATGTGTGACCTTCGGGTGGTGCTCCCCTTCCCCGAAAGAGTAAAGAGAAATCAACTGATAAGGTGACAGGAGGCGTGGACCATGGTTTGAGCGGCACACTGACCCCTGGTGATGTACCCGGAGTGTCACGAAATCTTTTACAAGCTACAAAGAAAATGTACCTGGATGAAAAAGCAAATATCCATATGTTCCTCCTCCTGTTCCTCCTCACTGTGGTTTACACTAGAAAAACTTTAAGCGAAGTTTCCCAAAAGAATCAGCAAGGACAGCCCATGCTCACCTTAAAGTGCCTGAAAGTATCCAGAGGTTGTTTTGAGAAGTCCTGGCAGGAGAGTCTGATAAGAGGACAGACGGCCTCAGTTGGACTCCCAGCTCCATCATTTATTAACTTTGTGGCCTGCATCAGTTATTTAAAACTCCCAGAAGCTCAACTCCTTCATCATTCAAAGGGAAGTAATAGTGTATTCTTCATAGGATTGTTGCACAGAGGCCTTGAGTTAAGAATACACACAGAACGCTTAGAAAAGGGCCTGGTGGATGGCCAGCAATCCTTGAATGTTTCCCCTCTTGTTCCTCCTCACTGTGTTTTGACTTCCCTTCCCAACACCTCTCAAGTCTGCACATTTTCCTTCCTCCCCACTGGCATTACCTGCTCTCTGGCTCCTGTTCCCACCACAGCCCTTTCTCAGGTCTTGCCTCTCTTGAATCTTCTCTGTGAGCACCCACAGGTAAATAGGATCTTGTCAGTCCTATGCTTTTAGACCCTTCACTGGCTCTCAGTTGCCCTTTGTTTAAACCCAAACTCTCTCCCCTGTTCTCTAGGGCCGTCTAGTAACTGGTTGGTGTACTCCCTGCCTAGTACTCACCGTTCCAGCCGCATCTAAATACTTGCGGTTTGCAAAGTGTGGTCCTTCCTTTCTTTGTTCTCCCTTTGCGAGGAAAACTCCTGGCTCAATGCTGTTCTACTCCAGGAAGCCATCCCTCCCTGGCTGGATGAGGAGCCAGCCTATGAATTCCTGGAATTAGCACCTTGAAAATTCCTTTTGCTATTGCCCTTCACTTTACATTGCCCTCCCTACAGGCTGGGATTGTCTCATTTACCTTCATGTCAAGAGCCCAGACCAGTGCCTGGCATATAATAGGCTCACTTCAGAAACATGCTGAATTAAAGAAGGCATGAACGTTAGCACTGTCCCTACTTGTTCTTTTTTGTCATTATCTAACCAAATCTGTTTTTCATTATCTACGAGCATTTATAAAAATACAAGTAATTTCTTTAAACATTTCAATCTTTTAATATTTATTTTCTTTACTTATTAACACGACACTATTATTCCTCTGTTCATACTTTGAATTGTGCATGCAGGATGTTATGTTGTGTGGTTTCTGTATTTCTGGGTTGGCTCTTTTGTTTGTTGTCTGAGGAGTGTTTAAAACGCTTGCTGGATGGGTGCTGTTCTCTTTCTTGAGCCAAGTAAAACAATAGAAGGAAACGAATGACAAGTGGTAACATCTGAATCTCAAATCAGGTTTGATGCCCTGAGTGCAGAGCTGCTGGACTGGATTTTGAAATCAAAGACTGCCATTCAGGCCACAGAGATAAAAGAATATAAGAAGATGCAAGAGACTTCAGAAATGAAAAAGAAGTTGAAGGTAAAACATAAAACAAAAGTACACTAGTGAATAAAATATTTCATCAGGATAGATTTACTTTGGCATAAAGATGGATGGGACCCAAAAGCTTCCTATAAAATAAATGTAGCCACAACGCAGCTTTTAGAACATTGTAGTAAATTTTGAATTGATTCAAGCTGGCTGGGATCAGATCCCTGTGTGGAAGAGAAATTTTTTCCCTTCCTCCTTAACCACTAATTTGTGTAGGAAGGAACACTTACTTCCTAAGGTGATCTAAATATTATTTCTATTTTTAGCTTGATTAGATCTTTTTAAAAAAATTTGTTATTGTTTAAAGTATTACATGAGTCTCCTTTTCCCCCCATTGACCTCTCCCCAGCCACTCCCACCCCCCTCTTGATTAGATCTTAATCTGGTACCTAATAATTTGTGACTTTGTGTGTGCAGAAGGCGTTTTGCTTTCTGAATGCAGCAAACTACAGTAGTACCTCCTTATGCACAGTTATCTGCAATCAATCGCATCCCAAGAATATTAAATGGAGAATTCTAGAAATAAACAGTTCAGAAGTTTTAAATTGCATGCCGTTCTGAGTGGCATGATGACATCTCGCACTGTCCTGCTTCGCCCCATCTGGGGCGTGAATCCCACCTTTGTTCAGTGTATCCACGTTGTGCAGGCCACCCTTCTATTAGTCATTTAGTAGCTGTCTTCATTATCAGATTGACTGTTGAGGTCTCACTGTGCTTATGTGCAATAACGCTTATTTTACTTAATAATTGCCCCAAAGCACAAGAGTAGTGATGCTGGCGGTTTAGATATGTGAAAAGAAAAGGTGGGTACAGTGCAATAAGGTATTTTGAGAAAGAGGAGACCACATTTACATAACTTTTATTACAACGTATTGTTATAATTGTTCTATTTTATTATTAGTATCTTGTTAATTCATTTTTGTGCCTCATTTATCATAGTTATGTATAAATAGGAAAAAATATAGCATATATTGGATTTGGTATTCTTCATGTTTTCAGACATCTCATGAGGATCTTGGGGATTATCCCCGAGGATAAGGGGGGTTACTATATTTCAACTTTCTTTAATGTAGAAGAGAAGAGACACCATTGTTTAAACACAAATGCTAATCAAATGAATGGAGCTTAGCTCTGTTGCTCTGTACCCATATGTGTGTGACTGAAATTGTGACAGGGGGTTGCCGTGATTTCTGTCATTGGTGGTCATTAAGCCTCTGTACATCCTTTCATCAACTATCTGGGCATCTAGAGCAAGCCTGTATCGCATGTACATTAGCAATGGAGTCTGTCGGTCAGGAGCTTGGGGAACGTTTAAAAATCCCCAACTGGAGAATCCCTAGTGCCTAGTCCAATCCACCACCACCATCAAAGGTATCAAACATCAGTTTGTATAAAGGGGGTAATCAACTTTCTCCAGTTTGATGGTGACTTTTTACATTAGTACTTAGCTTAACAAAAAGAAATGGTATTTCTTAGACTCTCTTATTTCTTGACCCTTGACTAAACAAATGGCTGTGTTACTTAGTCACATTAAAGTTTGTGTGGATCAAAATAGGAAAGCTGTATTTGTTTGACAGTGCTTACAGGTATCATAAGTTAGAAGGGGCATCCTTCTCTGGATTGTCTGCTTGAAATAATATGGGTTTCCTACAAGTTTTTATTGAGCTATTTTAGACACAATTTGAGTAGTTAATATCAATTGGGAATTGAGGAGATGGAAAAATTTCAAATACTGAGTGTGCACACATGTGTGTATGTGTGTGTGTGTGTATGTATGCTCGTGATCTTAATCAGCCCTTTCTTAGAGGTTGTGGCATTTGTCTTCACAACCCAGGCACAATTAAGCCATTTTTAAAACACAAAGAACAGAATGCTTTAGTTTGGATCCTAAAGTATGTTAGAATTATTTATAAATAATGTATGAATTTATGTTGATGATAGAAATTTGCAGTGCACTCTAGACTTAATATAATACCAACAAAAAATACTGCGACTCAAATTATTTTGGTCTCTTTTTCTTTATTTTTTTAAAAATAATTTTTTTATTGATTTTAGAGAGAGGGAGAGAGAGGTTGAAATATCAATGATGACAGAGAATCATTGATCAGCTATCTCCTGCATGCCCCCTACTGGGGACTGAGCCTGCAACCCAGGCATGTGCCGTTGACCACAGTCAAACCTGGAACCTTTCAGTCAATAGGCTGACATGCTATCCACTGAGCCAAACTAGCGAGGGCTGTTTCTTTTTCTTGTTAATTAATTTTTGTTCAGTGATCTCTGTCCGAGCACATTCAGTTCACTGGATGCAAACCCTTATTTTTATGGTGTGGCATATGTGGAGGCTATATATGTGAATAGATAGATATTCTGGATCGAAACCACTAATTTTACTTATTTCCTCTTGATAGAAACTTGTAACTATAGTGTAAAATTTAAAAAAAAAACACCCAAGTTTTTTATTGTTTGTTTGAATATACCTTTTAAAATTTAATCATCTCTGGTGCTGTGGAAGGTGGCCTGCAGTTGGATAGTTGTGTATGGTAGTATCCTCTTAGGTAAACAGTGTGATACCTAAAGGGAATGTGGGAGGGACTTTAACACTAAAACTTAAAAGAGTATCAGCATTATATTGAGAAGAAAGTTTGCAATATTCTTATATTGAGACTTTATTTCCAGGGAATAGAAAAAGAACAGACAGAAAGAAGACCCAGACTAGACGAATTAAACAAAACTGGACAAATCCTTTTGGAGCAAATGGGAAAAGGTGAGACCCTTGATTTTTTTTAAATGTGTTTTTAGATGGTGGCATTGCATCATATTTACAGTTTGACAAATCAAATATATATGTTTTGCTACTCTAACCCTCTTTGCTAGAAGAGTGGTTTTCAGAAACTTTTTTGTCAGCAAAATGTTTTTCTTCAAATGAAATCTTATGCTGAGGCTGATTTATCAAACTGATAAAAGCAAAGTTGTTCTGCTTTTAGACAGGATCAGGGAACCTAAAACTCTGATATCTCAGCAAAACAGTTACATTCCCCTGCATAGATTTTAAAATCTTCTCCTTTGGGGTATATGTTGGGAAATTGTGTGTGTGTGTGTGGCGGGGGGGGGGGCGGCAGGTAGTGGTTGTAAAAGAAAATTTTTTGCTTTGGCAACATCAGAGAGATAAAGCTACATTAAGGTATGAATTTTGTGACCTAATATATGCTTTTTTAATTTCATAGGAAACCTTTTATATTTTGCATTACCATTTTTTTTGAGCTTTGGTAGGACTGGAAATGCATTCATTACAGAACCCTAATTCTATTTATTTAATATGTTATTAAAATTTTTTAGGATGGGTGGGAAGCTGAGAAATGGGGATCTGACTAGGGATTATATGTTCTGGGTTTAATTTTATCATTTTCTGAAGGTGTTTGTTTTTTATTAGTGAGAGGATAAAAATGATTTTTTAAAAGTTCCCCACTATCGTTCCATGTTATCCATTATTGTAATTTTATAGTATTGCATATTATTTCTCCACATGTGGTTAGTGCTGAAAATCCTGCTGCTGCTCTAAAACCAGAAATGTTCAACAGAAATGAAAGCACAATTGGGTGATCCTCTCTGTTCCCCTTTCTCCTCCCCTAGAAATTTGAAGTAAGTCCTAGAACACCAAAAATTAATAAGAGGGTGTTTTTTATAGGGTGTAATCTGGCCATAGTCTACCTAGGTAAGGAGACAGGTAAATGATTCAGTTCAATTAGAAAAGCATATTCAAATAATCATGTCAAGAATATGTTCTATTTTATCCTTTTTAAGTATTTAGTAAAATGAGGAGCTATCAATTTGGCTTTGATTAGTCCTCTATGAGTTGTGTGTTCTATAGAGGTAGAAAAGTTATTATTTTGTGTCTCTGGGAGCAAAACAATTATTTTAAAAAACTGTGTGTAGGTTTCCTTTTTTATGATTCAAATTGTGCTTTCGTTATTACTTGATATTGGTCCAACCTATATTACCTCAAGCTTGGAGGAGGGAGATTTAAATTCTGAGAATTGTTTTGAAGGGGCAACATAAATGGATCATGAAGTACTGTCAGTAAATAAACAAAGGAATTGGAGAAGCTGCTTCGGCTTCCCTAGTACCTAACGTGAGCACCCATTGCCTGTTTTCTAAATGAGCAGCGATACTTTTTCATCCCAAAACTGTGTTTACCTGCTTGATTTTCTTTCTTGTTTAGCACAAAGTGCTGACATGAAAATGAAGTGGTTGACGTTATTCTTTTGCCCACTTAGAATAGAAATGACCTGGCGGGAGCAAAGCCTCTGTTTCCATCGCTCAGTTAGTTGTCAGGAAGATGTTAATGTGTTTTGCTTATAACCCCCATTAACAGGGATAATTGAACTTGGACTGTGGTGTGAATGTCTTGCATAGGTCTAATTAATATTCTGTTACCTGCCTGACAGACAGTGAACTTCAGCCACTGACATGGGTGATGTATTCAAATCATGTCATGTGTGCATTTCTAATTTTCAGTGGATACAGGATGTTATAGGAATTTTTGAAATTGCATCGTTTGTGGGTCTTAAGTGAACTTTCATTGTACTTGCCTTTTTTCCTTAGTGCTCTCATTACCCTGGATTTCGATGGTATATATTTACAAAGTATAATTGTCTTTATTGGCCTCCTATCTTCCCAACATACATGCTCTCCTGTGCAGATTTCTCACACTTTTTCATAGTACTTTTACAGATTTTATATGACAAAAGCTATTATTATATACTAGTGGCCTGGTGTACGAAATTCGTGCATAGGGGGTGGGAGGGGTGTCCCTCAGCCCGGCCTGCACCCTCTCCTATCTGGGACCTCTCGGGGGATGCCTGACTGTCAGTTTAGGTGGGATTGGGCCTAAACTGGCAGTTGGACATCCCTATCGCAATCCGGGACTGCTGGCTCCTAATTGCTCACCTGCCTGCCTTGCTGATTGCCCCTAACCACTCTGCCTGTCGGCCTGCTTGCCCCCAACTGACCCCCCCGCCAGCCTGATCACCCCCAACTGCCCCCCCTGCCAGCGTGCTTGCCCCCAACTCCCCCCCCCTGCCGGCCTGCTTGCCCCCAACTGCCCCCACTGCTGGCCTGCTTGCCCCCACCTGCCCTCTCCGCTGGTCTGCTTGCCCCAACTGCCCCCCTGCTGGCCTGCTGACCCCTAACTGCCCCCCTGCCGGCCTGATTGCCCCAACTGGCCCCCCTCCCCCACCGGCCTGATCACCCATAACTGCCATCCCCTCTTGGCCTCTTACCACCTCTACCTCGGCCCTGCCACCACGGCTTTGTCCAGAAGAACGTCCGGAAGGTCTCCTGGAAGGTCTCCCAGTCTAATTAGCATATTTCTTTTTATTAGTATAGATAGAGGCCTGGTACGTGGGTGGGGGCTGGCTGGTTTGCCCTGAAGGGTGTCCTGGTTCAGGGTAGGGGTT